ATAACTGTTCAGTGATTTAAAAACGTACAAGAGTATTTTGAACTGAATTTGAAAGTGAACCAGGAGCCAGTGCAGGGAGATCAAAACTGGTATAATGGGCTCTGTTTTGCCTGTACCGATTAAAAATCGGGCTGCAGCATTTTGGACCAGTTGTAGTCGTGCAATGGAGGTCTGGCTGATTCCAAAACAGAAGCACATTGTAGTAATTGAGCCTGGATGTTATGAACGCATGTATTACTATTTCAACCTTATTTTTGGACAGTATGGGCTTCAGTTTAGACAGTCACCTCAGCTGACAAAAACAGGATTTAACAATAAAAACCTTTATCTAATCTATCTAATCTTATCTATAAAAATATTGATATATAGATCAGAGCAGTTCATCGATCCTTTGGAAAGATATATACTAAGATATATGTTAAACACTAATAATGTCAAACAATACGGCGTAACAACAGCAGCCCGAACATGAGTCTTTGGTGAGCAGATAGGTATGAATGAATACAGCAGCATGAGATAATCAGCAGCATGAGATTATCAGCAGCATGATATCAGCAGCACAGATAAGTCACATTAAAGTGGCATTACAGTGTTTTTTTATTTATTTTATTTTTCTTAAAGTGATTATCCTGGTTAGGGATTTATGAGTCCAACAGTTTCAGGGTATAGCTGTTCTTCAGTCTAATGGTTCTACACTTAACGCTCCATAACGTTGTACCTGAGGGGAGCGGGGCAAAAAGTGTGTGCTGAGTGAGTGGGGTCCTTCATGATGCACTCACCTAGCTTTGACTAAATCACAATAAAAATCTTGTCCTGATGCTCTAAATGGAGATCTTGACAGTATCCTTCAGTTCCTTGGCTGTTTAGGTGATCACACTAAACTAATTGGAAACAACTAAGACCAATCTCAATTTGTTTTTCTGCACAGTTGTGTTTGCCAAAGAAACACCGCCAAATTAGGCACTGCTGTTATAGCAGCAATTAGAAAAGTGTTATTAATGTGTTTGCATCGTCACACATAGACCATGGTGACTCTTTATTTCCTTTTAAGTCAAGAGTCTTAATGTTAGTCCATATTTCTGCTGCTAGGCTGTACAGTAAGACACGTCACTCTCACATCACCCATTTATTGAGGCAGTGCTCTGGCTCCTAAATCCCTTTTCTCTCCCTAAAGCCATAAACAGACAGGCTCCTGCTTATGTCAGTGAACTTTGACTCCTTCCACACCTTCCACACTCCTGCTATATCCTGATCAAGCCTTTTACGTTGTTCCTTGTTCAAGTCTGAAAAAAAAAAAAAACTGTGGGGGATATATTTTCTGCCTTAGGTCCTAAAAACAAAATGCTATTAAGTGTTTTCAATCAGCTGCTAACACAACTTTTTTCCCCAACATATTTAATTGATCTACGTTGAAATGCTCTTGTTTCATTGTCCTTTTCCTTTTTATACTTTTTTCTCTGCTTACTTTTGTAAAACAATTTGTAAACTTGTTTTCACAATGTGTTATGTTGTTAAAAATACTTAATTCACGTTCAGAGCAGTTCATTGATCCTTTGGCACAAAAAAACATGTTTTTTTTCCCATCAAGTTGTTGTCTGTTTGTTAATTAGCTGATGTAAAAATGATGATTTATGTTCAACACTGATCTCTATGTTTGACCTACTCCATTTTAAAATGATTTAATCTGGTGTATGTCATTTTGGAGGCTTGTCAAAAACAAAGCCAACAATCTAATAAGTTTAAGCGTTGCTCTTTATTGGTCAGTGTTTGTTTGTCACCACTGGGTGTCACTGCAGAGCTTTGATTTTAGTTTCCACCTATACTTCCATCCATTTTCACATTTCAGTCATGTGAGTGAGCAAATAAGCTGCAGAGAGAAACCATCTTTGTAATCACTCTTTTTAATTTCATCTTTAAGAGTGCATTTCTCCCTGCGCTTGCATGCTAATTGTGCCCGCGCGTATGTTCAGTGTGAAATCAAAAGAATGTCAGTGTCACTCAGTGGACTCTCATTAAGATGCTTTGCCAGTGTTTAATAATCCGTCCATATGGTCATCGTGGTGGTAGCCTCTCCCTCCTCCTTCAGGTGGTTGGGTCTGACAGAGATCCAACAACACAGCACGACAGGAAAGATCATTTTAGAGCTTTATTGTGGTGATTTGTAAGCCAGAGCATTATGAAAACAATCTTTCTTGGCTCCTGGAACGGAAATGTGCCCAGATTAAAAAACAACAACAACTGTTTCATAAATGACTTTAGAGTCTGTCGGTCCCCAGTAGCTGTGATCTCGGCTCGAACGGTCCTGCTCTATCATCTGTGAAATGTGGTTCACATCACAGTGGTGATGTTACAGAGAACATTGTTACTGCTGCTCTCAGCTGATGCCCTCAGATCTACAGGAAAGGTCAGTAGTTGGGTACCCAACCCTGACACTGATTTGGTCTCATGGAAATCTTTGGTGCCAGAGTATAATTAGTGGCCATATGGGCTCTGTGGTGAGAACTTGCTGCAACAGACCCATAGAGAAGCTATGCTGATGCCCATTATTCATCAGCTCTTCAGAGGCTGTAAAATGATGACGGAGGAGTTCAAATTTGGATCAATATTTATATCTAATCTCTTGACACCGGCTGCTAATATCTGGTTATAACTCCTTTTTTTGTATATTCTTCAAAAGGAAGTAAATAGAATAGATTTTAAATATAAATTTAGACCTTGTGTTTAGCAGAGCAGTGCTGTTGTCAGTGCTGTCATCTCACAGTGAGAGTTCATGACTTGCCTGCAGCCGCACGCTGTTTTTGTGTGCCTGTTCAAAAGTATAAATCTTGAATGC